ATATTTGGGAGTTTATCTAACAAAGAACGTGAAAGATCTCTATAAAGAGAACTATGAAACTCTAAGAAAAGAAATAGCTGACAATGTTAACAAATGGAAAAACATACCATGCTCATGGCTAGGAAGAATCAACATTGTTAAAATGTCAATACTACCCAAAGCAATATATAATTTTAATGGAATCCCCATTAAAGCTCCACTGTCATACTTTAAAGATCTCGAAAAAAATAATACTTCATCTTATATGGAATCTGAAAAAAACCTCGAATAGCAAAGACATTACTCAGGAACAAAAACAAAGTAGGAGGAATTATGTTACTAGACCTCAGACTATACTATAAATTGTTAGTGATCAAAACAGCATGGTACTGGCACAAAAACAGAGAGGTAGATGTATAGAACAGAATAGAGAGCAAAGAAATGAATCCAGCTACCTACCGTTTTCTAATCTCTGACAAGCCAATTAAAAATATAGAGTGGGGAAAAGATTCCCTATTTAACAAATGGTGCTGGGCTAACTGGATGGAACCTGTAGAAGACTGAAACTAGACCCACACCTTTCACCATTAACTAAGATAGACTCTCACTGGATTAAAGATTTAAATTTAAGACATGAGACTATGAAAATACTAGAAGAAAGTGTAGGGAAAACACTTGAAGAAATCAGCTTGGGCAAAAATTTTATGAGAAGGCCCCCTCGGGCAATTGAAGCAATGTCAAAAATACACTTTGAGGACCAGATCAAACTTAAAAGTTTCTGCACAGCCAAGAACACAGTAAATAAAGTGGGTAGACAGCCCTCAGAATGGGAGAAGATATTTGCTGGTTATGTCTCCGACAAAGGCTTAATAACCAGAATCCATAGACAACTCAAACGTACTAGCAAGAAAAAAACAAGTGATCCCATCTCAAGCAAGGGACTTGAATAGAAATTTCTCTAAAGAAGAGAGGCGCATGGCCTACAGATATATGAAAAAAATGCTCTCCATCCTTAATCATCAGAGAAATACAAATCACAACTACCTTGAGGTACTACCTAACCCCAGTAAGATTAGCACATATCACAAAATCCCAAAACCAGAGATGTTGGTGTGGATGTGGAGAAAAGGGAACACTTCTACACTGCTGGTGGGAATCCAAATTAATTCATTCCTTTTGGAAAAACATCTGGAGAACACTGAGAGAACTAAAAATAGATCCTCTAATTCCTTTATTAGGTATATATCCAGAAGACCAAAAATCGAATTACAACAAAGATATTTGTATCAGAATGTTTATTGCAGCCCAATTCATAATTGCTAGGTCATGAAAGAAGCCCAAATGCCCATCAATCCATGAATGGATCAATAAATTGTGGTACATGTACACCATGAAATACTATGCAGCCATAAAGAAGGATGGAGACTTTACCTCCTTCATGTTTATATGGATGAAATTGGAAAATGTTCTCTTAGCAAAGTATCTCAGGAATGGAAGAAAAAGTATCCAATGTACACAGCCCTACTTTGAAACTAATTCATAGCTTTTATAGGAATGTCATAACCTAATTATAGCCTTAGAATATGGGAAGGGGGTGGGAGGTGGAGGTGAGGGGGTGGATGAGGGAGAGAGGGATATTGGTGGGGTCACCTCTATGGTTTATCTTGCAAGTGTACAAATGAATCTTTCTAAAAGCAGAGTATGAACCTTTTAACTCAATAGCTAAGAAAATGACATGAAGGTTATGTTAACCAGTCTGATGAGAGTATTTCAAAATGTGTATGAAAACAGCACACTGTACCCCATGATTGCATTAATGTACAGAGTTATGCTATAAGAAATTAAAAAAGAGAGAGAGAGCTGAAGATGTTAACAAATGGAAAAACATACCATGTTCATGGCTGGAAAGAATCAACTTTGTTAAAATGTCCAGAGGGCTGCACTCGCAGCCTTGCCACTGGGTGAGGGGGCAGGGGAAGCAGACAGGGGCCCGGGGAAGCAGGGGTGGCCTGGCCTCAGCTCCACCTTGGTCCTGCAGGCCACTTGAGCAAGGTGCTCAAGGCCAGGTTGAGCACTGGCCAGGTTTGGTTGCGACCCCCGTCCGGAGGCCAGGCACAGGCTGCGATAGGCCCAGCGGCCCGGCCCACAGGTAGCCATGGGGGCAGGCACCAGTGCCCGGCAGGGCAGAGCTGGCTGAAGTTCTAGGCGAGCCTCTGAGTGCAGCACAGCTGCTGCGGATGATAGAGCACTGTTACAGCACGGCCAGTGTCCTGCTGCTTCAGCCGCCTCTGCAGCTCTACTGGACCTGGCTGCTCCAGTGGATCCCACTCTGGATGGCCCCCAACTCCATCACCCGCCTTGGCTCGTCATCAACATGCTCACCACGCTGGTGCTCACCTCCTACTGCCCCACGGCCACCTAGGAGGCACCATACTGGAGATACCTACTATGCGCCCTGGGACTCTTTATCTACCAGTCACTGGATGCTACTGACAGGAAACAAGCCAGAAGAACAAATTCATGTTCTCCTTTAGGGGAACTCTTTGACCATGGTTGTGACTCTCTTTCTACAGTGTTTATGGCAGTGGGAGCTTCAGTTGCTGCTGGCTTAGGAACTCACCCTGACTGGTTGTTTTTCTGCTCTTTTATCTGGAGGTTCATGTTCTATTGTGCTCACTGGCCGATTAACGTTTCAGGCATGTTGAGATTTGGAAAATTGGATGTAACTGAAATTCAAATAGCTTTAGTGATTGTCCTTGTGTTGTCTGCATTTGGAGGAGCAACAGTGTGGGACTATACAATACCCATTCTAGAAATAAAACTAAAGATCTTCCCAGTTCTCGGAGTAATAAGTAGAACAATATTTTCCTGTATGAATTATTTCCGCGTTATCCTCCATGGTGGCGTTAGCAAGAGTGGATCCCCTATAGCAGGCACCAGTGTCTTGTCACCTGGACTCCACATAGGACTAATTATTATACTGGCAATAATGATCTACAAAAAGTCTGCAACTAACGTGTTTGAAAAGCATCCTTGTCTTTATACCCTAACGTTTGGGTCTGTCTTTGCTAAAGTCTCACAAAAATTGATGATAGCTCACATGACCAAGAGTGAACTGTATCTTCAAGACACTATATTTTGGGGGCCAGGTCTGTTGTTTTTAGACCAGTACTTTAATAATTTTATAGATTAATATGCTGTTCTATGGATAGCACTGGTAATTTCTTCACTTGATATGATGATATACTTTAGTGCTTTGTGCCTGCAAATCTCAAGACACCTTCATCTAAATATCTTCAGGACATCATAACATAAAGCACCCAAACAGGATCACAATCATATTGACTGATAAGAGCCCAGGGAATAGAGGAGATGCAGTTATGGGAACCTATGAGTGAAGGAAATCCCCTTGTGCAGGAGGCTAGTATACTATCAAATAAGGTTATATTTGAATATAAAACATAAATACTCCAGCTTCCATTATGTCTATTTCAGTTATGAAGCATTATGTATCAACATTTTTGATCACAGGTATTCTCAGAGTATTACAATCTATAAATTAAAAACAGGACTAAAGAAAGAAATTTCAGTCTGGACAATAAGTGAACCCCTATAGTCCTGTGACTATAGTTCACTAGTCCTGTAGTTCTAAACAGATTATCTCTTTGTCTGAGAAATATTTACTAGGCACTTAGAGTTTTCACTGCCAAAAGATTACATAAAAATTCAGAATGTAAAGCATTTTAGCCATCTTGAGTGTACCTACTTTAACAATAATCAAAAAGTAAGCTCAAATTGGGTTATAGCTTTCTTACAAAAGCTATAAGTTAGTTTCATAGTAGGGCTGAGTACATTGGATACTTTTTCTTCCATTCTTGAGATACTTTGCTAAGAAGAATATTTTCCAGCTCCATCCATGTAAACATGAAGGAGGTAAAGTCTCCATCCTTCTTTATGGCTGCACAGTATTCCATGGTATACATATACCACAATTTATTGATCTATTCATGGATCAATGGGCATTTGGGCTTCTTCCATGACCTGGCAATTATGAATTGGGCTGCAATAAACATTCTGGTACAAATATCTTTGTTTTAGTGTGATTTTCTTATAAGGGTACATGTGAATCTTTCTAAATGTAGAATACAAATGTCTTAACACAATAACTAAGAAAATACCATGAAGGCTATGTTAACCAGTTTGATGAAAATATTTCAAATTGTATATAAAAACAGCACACTGTACCCCATGATTGTATTAATGATTTAATTTTTTAAAAAGTAAGCTCACAATACTGCCCAAGTGCTTGGCTTATAATATTGTAATTATTGAGTCAAGTGGTAAGAATTTTTTTAAATCATAATCATTTTTCAAATCTTCAGCTCCATCTGACCCTATTTTTGATTTTATACAATAGTTCCATAGACCAACTATATACCAAATGATGAAATAATCAGAAAAACAAAGGAGTAATACTGTACTACTTCTTTCTTAGGCAAGAAAAAGGCATACTGGAAAAAAAAAAGTGAAAAGATATTCCTTAAAAGGAAAAAATATACTTATGTGAATTAAGTACACAGAAAACACTCTGGAGTATTTTGCCTCTGTAACTGTTGGTAAAACTTTCCAAGTAAGAACCTTCTTAGACATTTGAATAGTGCTTACAATTTATAGCCTAACACATACTTTGGCTTAAAAGGAAAATCTCTTACAAAGTTTGAAATTTGGCCAGGAGTGGTGGGTCATGCCTGTAATCCTAGCCTTCTGGGAGGCCAAGAGGGGGATTGCCTGAGCTCAAGGGTTTAAGACCAGCCTGACCCAGAGAGAGACCTCATCTCTAAAAATAGCTGGACATGTGGTGAGCACCTATAGTCCCAGCTACTTAGGAGGCTGAGGCATGAGGATCACTTGAGCACAAGAGTTTGAGGTTGCTGTGAGCTATGATGCCACAACACTCTACCAAAGGCAACTCTGTCTCAAATAAATAAATAAACAAAGTTCGAAATTTTAGAAAGTAAACTGTCCTTTTAATGTCAAATATTTGTTAATGGTAGAGGACTAATTTCTTTCTGTACAAGTTATCACAGAATAAGAGAATCTACATGGACTTGTTTTTTAAAATTTGGACTACCTTAAAACTAAGATAAGCATGGGTTATAGAGACAAAAATTAAAATTTAAAACATGGAAAAGCAGGAGAAGTTTACTCCTCTTCTCCTAAGGGTCATGTGTTTTGAATGATTCATGGAAAACAATTTCAGCAAAAAATACGAAGTTTAACTGACTCATCTCAAATATATGCTGAAACAAGTTAATATTTATTATCAAGTGTTTGTTATTCTATGTAAAAAATAAGCATTTTAAAAGACATAAAAATTAACTGTTTGGGTTTGAAAATAATGTAAAATTGAACCTCAATTTCAAAAATCAGTATTACCAAATATTAAAATTGAAAAAAAAACAAAATAAATAAATAAAATAAAATAAAATAAAATGTCCATACTACCCAAAGCAATCTACAGAGTTAATGAAATCCCTATTAAAGCACCATTGTCATACTTTAAAGAACTTGAAAAAATAGTACTTCGTTTTATATGAAATAAGAAAAAAACTTAAATAGCAAATACCTTACTCAGAAATAAGAACAAATCAGGAGGAAACATATTACCAGACTTCAGGCTATACTATAAATCTATAGTGATCAAAACAGCATGGTACCGGCACCAAAAAAGAGTGGTAGATTTATAGAACAGAATAGAGAACCAAGAGATGAACCCAGCTACTTATTGCCATTTGATCTTTGATAAGCCTATCAAAAATGTTCAGTGGGGGAAAGACTCCCTATTTAACAAATGGTCCTGAGTGAACTGGCTGGAGACCTGTAGAAGACTGAAACTGGACCCCCACCTTTCACCATTAACAAAAATTGACTCTCACTGGATAAAAGATTTAAACCTAAGACATGAAACTTTAAAAATACTAGAAGAGAATGCAGGGAAAACACTTGAAGAAATTGGCCTGGGAGAATATTTTATGAGGAGGACCCCCGGGCAATTGAAGCAACACCAAAAATACATTACGGGGATCTGATCAAACTAAAAAGTTTTTGCACAGCCAAGGGCACAGTAAGTAAAGCAAACAGACAACCTGCAGCATGGGAGAAGATTTTTGCAGGTTATTCTTCCAACAAAGGTCTTATAACTAGAATCTACAGAGAACTCAAACTAATCAATAAGAAAAGAATAAATAACTCCATTTCTATGTGGGCAAAAGATTTGAACAGAAACTTCTCTGATGAAGACAGGCACATGGCCTACAAAAACATGAAAAAATGCTCATTATCCTTAATCATCAGAGAAATGCAAATCAAAACCACTTTGAGATATCATCTAACTCCAGTAAGATTAGCCCACATCACAAAATCCCAAAACTACAGATGTTGGCATGGATACAGAGAAAAGGGAATGCTTCTACACTGCTGGTGGGAATGCAAGCTAATACAACCTTTTTGGAAGGAAGTTTGGAGAACACTCAAGGAACAAAAAGTGGACATACCATTCGATCCTGCAATTCCTCTACTAGGTCTGTACCCACATGATCAAAATTATTTTACAACAAAGACATTTGCACCAATATGTTTACTGCAGCCCAATTCATAATAGCTAAGACACAGAAACAGCCCAAGTGTCCATTGACCCATGAATGGATTAACAAATTGTGGTATATGTATGCCATGGGATACTATGCAGCCATTAAAAAAGATGGAGACTTCACATCTTTTATGCTTACCTGGATGGAGCTGAAACATATTCCTCTTAGTAAAGTGTTTCAAGAATGCAAAAAAAGTATCCAATGTATGCAATGCTACTATGAAATCAATATATAATCACTTACACACTCATATGAATGGCCAAACATAACAGTAATAGTCCAGAAGATGGAAGGGAAGAGAAGAGAGAGGGGAGGGGGAATTTGGGAGAAAGGTGGGTATTTGGGGGGACCTGATCTAATGTGCATGATGCAATGGTACACGTCAAAACTATTAAAAAATGAGTATAATTGTGATAGATGTGTTACTTAGTTCAGTGTAAGAATTTCACATTGTATATTGAAGCAGTACCCTAAACCCCATAAATGCATCAATGCACAAAGTTATGATTAAATAAAAAATAATTTAAATAAATAAAGTTATCTAAAATAAGCATAAATAACCATAAAATGATGCCTTGGAATCATGAAAATGCCTTGGAATCTCAGAAAAATCCCACAACATAGGAAACATCAGATTATTCTGAATGCCCTCAGTTTCATTGGTATTGAATATTCTATAAGTGACTGCCACAAAAAGCCATCCAAATAGTGAATTCTGTAGTGTCACCATTTTATATCTCAGAGGACTTGGACTCTTTAAACATTGGTGATAGGGATATATGAATCTTAAAGGAGACAAACTTAGTAAGTCAGCAAGTCTTTAAATCTAGTTATTTCAGGAGAGCTAATAAATAATTTAAAAATAAAATTATCTGCCAGATGGACAAACAGATAAGCATTTCATATAACTATTGACATTAATGTTCATGAATTATATGCTGTAGACTTGCAAGAGGAATCATAAGAGTGCCTTTAAGAGTTTGAGGAGTTTCAAATGTACTCAATACTATTACGAAACCAATTTATAATCACTCACACTTTCACATGAAAGATAAATCACAACTATAGTCCAGGATGAAGGAAGGAAGAGGAGGAAGGATATGGGAGGAGGGGGGGAGGTTTGATGGGGAGACAGTAAATGGTGGGACCACACCTATGTTGCATAGTGCAAAGGTACATGTCAAATTTATTAAGCATAGAGTATAAATGTCTTAACACAATAATTAAGGAAATGAGGTGATGGCTATATTAACTAGTTTGATGTAAGCATTCCAAATTGTGTTTAAAATCAGCACACTGTACCCCATAAATGCATTAATGTATATGTGATATATGTGTTTATGACTTAATAAAAAATAAATTTTAAAAAAAGAGGAGAATAATTTGATGCAACAAGAAGCATCAACTTCATAGGTATTTCCAAGAGTGGAAAATTGTAGACACTTTAAAGAGCCTAAAAATTCTTATTTTGATAGTTTGTAGCCAGTTATGGGTGAAAGAGACAGTATATCTGAATTCAACCAAGCCTAGAATAATGGACCCTCAAGCACTCTCTGCCCCAGACTGTATCCTCAGAGGATATCCCTCTCAAGATCACAATTTTCTGTCTCCCTAAAGCAGAAAAATTCTACACTCACTTCCTGTACCAAGATACCTTTCTGGTGTCACAATGAGCCTCATAAATGGGGAACTGAGAGACTGTATAAAATCTGCTCTCTGCGGAACATCTACTGAGTCTGAAAATTTCAATGACCCTTAAAATATTACTTAATGCTCCACATAAACTCAATAGAAAGGTGGAATTTCTAAAAAGTTTCATTTTCTATTACAGTGAAGGAACTCAGGAGGCATGTGTAAACTTGGTTATGCAAAAGCTGAGCTACCAAGTGCAACATTTGACCTCCAAACTAAGACATTAGGTGCATGTAAGATTTTTCATAAGAAAAGCCTCAGATTGTCAGGTATTAGATTCTTATAAGAAGTGCACAGCTTAGAGACCCCTCACATGTGCAGTTTGCAGTAGGGTTCATGCTCCTTTGAGAATCTCTGAGTTTGCAGTAGGGTTCATGCTCCTTTGAGAATCTCTGAAAGCAGTAACAACAGGCTATTTTATTGACACCCCCCACCCCATCCATCAGGAGGTGGAGCTCTGGCAGTGATGCAAGCAATGGGGAGTGGCTGTAAATACAGATGAAGCTTCAGGTGCTCACCTGCTCACCTCCTGCTGTGCAGTCTGGGCTAATAACAGGCTATCTACCAGTATCAATTCATGGCCACAGAGTTGGGGACCACAGTGTTAGGGTTTCACTTACGTATTGTTGCAGAATAACAACCCTAAAATCAAATGTTTTAATATAATGCCTCTGTTAGCAGATGTGATTGCATGGTGGGGACTTTTTCTGAGCTTTCCTGGTCTCCTTATTTGTCTGTACTCAGCTATCAGTCGGTTAGGGGTTGAAGAGGCTAATGTAACTTCATTTGGGAATGAAGAGGTTAATGTAACTTCATCTTGGAACTCATTCCCCAACCCGCCCTCCTAGGCAAGGTCGCCCAGGTGGAATCAGTCTACCAGGAGACCCTCCCTCCCCCACATTTCTGGGCAGCCAGTCTGAAGCGGACCAGCTTCCCCTCCCTTCGCTCTCATCTGCAAGATCAGTCAGCCTAAAGGAGCCGGTCTATCAGAAACAAACAAGCAGCCGGGCTCTAAAAAAGTCCCTAATCAAAAACAGCTTAGCCAATAGCAACACCGCCCGACAAAACACCTGATGTAATTCCTCTGTGCGCTTTAAAAACCTCCACTCCCTTCACTTCGGGGTCACCCTTCGCTCAGCAATTCTGCAGAGTAGAGTGACCCAGGCATATGCTTGTAAATAAATAAAGCACCTCTTTGTTTGCATGTGTGTGGTGGTCTCTCAGCAGCGATAAGGTCCCAACAGGGTCTGCTATTTGCTGGGGTTCCTCATATATTGAGGACATTGTTGGCTGTTGGCTGATCTAGGATGGCCTTGTCTGGGATAAGTGGCTTCTTTTCTATATGTCGTCTCTGTCTACACCAGTCCTGCCTGCATTTGTTCACATGGCTGAGGCAGGGTTCCAAAAAATAGCAGCAGAAATGCACTGAGGCGCCTCAGGCATACTGTCAATACTAACATGTTCTTTTGGTCAAAGCAAATTAAAATTAAATCCAGTTCAAGCCTAAAGGATGACTCTTCCCTCAGTAGCTAGATGTTCTTAGAGAAGACAGTGAAGGTGCGTGAGTGCAGATGTTTATTTGAGCAGCTGTGGAATTTTTATCTCAGGAAGTCCAGTCTCCTCCCACCATCTACATATTCCTCTCTTTCCTTATTCTAACTCAGCATTCCTAAGCTAAGAAGAAACAAACCTTTTTCCCTTCGGATACCACATAGATCAGGGACCTCACACCTAACTCATTGATTAGCAGACCTAGAGAACTATTGTTACACTGATGTTATTTTTAGCATCATTATGGACATGCTATGTTTCTTTTTAGATATAGTGTAACATATTCAAAAGACTTTACATCCTGGTATTGTTATTTTCTATTAGAGTTTTTATTGGAGGAGGTACCATTTGAAATGCACATAGACAACAATGATACAGGAATATGAAAATTAAATATAACTTTATAATATGCTAATGCCAGCAAAATTTGCCTGCAAGTGATATAAATGTATCTCTTAGAATACCAAATGTTTTATAAATGGAAAGTAAATCACAGCTGTTAACCTATGTTATAAATATGAAATTTCTCATTTTTTGCAAAACCATCATGAAGTCAGGCAATGTGGTATCTGCAGTTTTCTATCAAGAGAACACAATTCACTCCCTTTGAAGAAGGAAATAACACTTTTCTGGTGAAAGAAAGGGCTGTGTGCCCATTACAAGCCAATGTTTTAGAGACTCAAGGGATTTAGTCAAACGAAATCCTCGGTTTAGACTTTGGAGAAAACTTCAACTCACGATTGCAATAAACTGTTACAAGGTTAGACCTCAGGGAGGCAGGAAGTCCATAGAGAAGGACTAACAAAGACTGAATTCACACATTTAATATGGTGTCTTGAGAATGGAGATATAGGGAAAAACATTTTGTTCACCGGAGCAATGGCCCACAGGGAAATGACGTGGTCAGGGTTGTAATAACAAGAAGGAAATGTGCCTAATCAGCAGGTTTTCAAAGCTGTAAATATCCCTCTGCTGTTGTCCCTCAGCATAGTCTTGGGCTGAACAGAAGCCCCAAATATGGCTACAGTACTAAGTTTTACCTTCTCCTACTGATTTTTGTGGGGACACAGCTTCAGTCTCCATCATCCACCATCCAGGGAGCAATTCTCACCCATGGAGATCTTACTTTCAGAAAATCAATCATGGTGAGTCCAAGAGCTGAGTAGGTACCACAGGAAAGGGTCAGGGAGAATAGAAGCTGTGAACATGTATGTGAGGTCACCTGAGAGCCAATCTAACCTGCCTAGAGCAGACAGATTGTGTTGTTTGTTGGCTTGCTTGATTAATGGATTGAGTCATGTTTCTATTTATAACACTAAAAGAGAAGTGAATGTTGAATTCACCACATGCACGTAATTGTTTACAATTAAGTAATGTTAATGGAAGCCCAACTAGTGGGGGAAATGGGCGTTTTGAAGTGGTCCCAGTAAAACTTGAGCATTAGTCCAAGGATCTTGGCAATTAAGTAGAGAAGAGAAGCAGAGGATTAGCTGTAGAGGTATATAAACTGAAGTCAGGCCATTTATCTTTTTATTTTTAAGAAAGGACATATTTGAGTAGGTTTCCGTATCAAAGAGGAAGATCCAGACCAATGTACTGTTTCCAAATACTACCTGACAACCACAGTTGATGGGCACACATTTGTAGCAGCTTCTCTTATGTTAGCTATTCAAATGACATTAAAGATTTACTTAAAGGTGAAAAGTAATAAACCACTGAGTATACTCTGCCTTTGTTTCCTTATCTGTGAGGCTAAATGTATATGTGTTTGTAGACATTTACCGCTCTATTGCAAACTGTGCATGTCTTTGCTTTTTTAACACACTTTAGAGTGTTGTTACTCCTGTTTTAGATTTGCATTTTTAAAATCTAAGAACTGGAGTTCTCAACAATTTTGGCATTTATCATTTAATTATTTTATGTAAGTGTCAATGTATTTAAGAGAAATGTGTGAAATTTAACAATTTTAGACGCCAAGTGCGTCTATCCATATAATTGTGTTCCCCACAAGTGAAGTACAATGGCCACACTCTGGTTCAGATTCTGGGCTTATCTAACATGAAAAGTCCTGGATCATACTCTATGCAATACTGCACACACCATGATTTTTCTATCCTTTTGCACTGAATAAAATTCTGCATATGATTTATCCCAAAAAGTTATGAAATAAAATGAATAAAGCCATGTGAAATATAGTGATTTCAAAATAAAAAAGTGAAACAAGGTGTAAAATAAGAATTTAATGATGTTAATATAGATGAAGTATTCAATTGCCAAAACCTCAGACACCTCATGGTGACTATAGTTACTGATGATACACACATATTGTAATCTCAAAAAAGGCTAAGGGAGTGGGTGTTGCACGTTTCCACCACAGAAATGATGGCTGTGTGAAATAACAAGAGGTTAATTAGCTGGATTTAGCCATGCCAGTATTGATACATACTTTAAAGCATTATGCTGTATATTCATAATTTGTATAATTTCCTTCTCAACTTAAATTTTTTAGGTATTTTCTTTTTTATTTTCCTTTTTTCCTTTTTGTTTGTTTCAGGTTCATTGAGGGTACAAAGAATCAGGTTACACAGATTGCTTTTGTGAGGTAAAATCTCTCTTATAATTGTGTCCAGCCCCCAAGAGAGGTATCATACACCTTAACACTCCCACCCCCCCCTTCCTTCTCCCTCATTCCTGCACCACCCACCTTGAATTGATTTGAGTTTTTCTCTTATGAGGGTATGTATTAGATCCTCTACTGGCTTTATATTAGATGTGAGTACATTGGATTCTTGCTTCTCCATTCTTGCCATACAAATTAACTTCTTGATTGTAAAGTATAAATGATAGCATTTCTGACATGTTAGTCATGCACACTGTATCGTGTTCTCTTTCTCTTTCTTTTGGTAGTCACAACAATCAGATGGAACCAAAAATGATACATGCATTTCAGAATTTCTTCTTCTGGGATTTTCAGAACAACACAAATTACAGCCAGTCCTCTTTGGGCTGTTCCTGTCCATGTACCTGATCACTGTGCTCGGGAACTTGCTCATCATCCTGGCCACAATCTCAGACTCCCATCTGCACACCCCCATGTACTTCTTCCTCTCCAATCTGTCCTTTTCTGACATCTGTTTTGTCTCTACCACTGTCCCAAAGATGCTGGTGAACATCCAGACACAGAGCAAAGTCATACCCTATGCAGGCTGCATCATCCAGATGCACTTTTTCTTATTCTTTGTAGGATTAGAAAACTTCCTCCTGACCATTATGGCCTATGACCGGTTCGTGGCCATCTGTCAACCCCTGCACTACACAGTTATCATGAACTCTAGGCTCTGTGCACTGCTGGTTTTGGCATCCTGGATCATAAGTGCCCTGAATGCCTTGTTACAAAGCTTAATGGTGTCGCAGCTGACCTTCTGTACAGAGTTGGAAATCCCCCACATTTTTTGTGAACTTAATCAAATAATCCGTCTTGCCTATTCTGATACCTTTCTTAATGACATGGTGATGTATTTGGCAGTTATGCTTCTGGGTGGGGGATGCCTTACTGGGATCCTTTACTCTTACTCTAAGATAGTTTCCTCCATACGTGCAATCTCATCTGCTCAGGGGAAGTATAAAGCATTTTCCACCTGCGCATCTCACCTCTCAGTTGTCTCCTTGTTTTATGGTACATGCCTAGGGGTGTACCTCAGTTCTGCTGCCACCCACAACTCACACTCCAGTACAGCAGCCTCAGTGATGTACACAGTGGTCACCCCCATGCTGAACCCCTTCATCTACAGTCTGAGGAATAAAGACATAAAGAAGGCTCTGAAAAGATTCTTTGAGGGAAGCAATAAATGTTCATTTTTCAAAGAAGTGCCTGTGATTTAAAAGCTCAGAGCCTTAGACCCAGAAATTGAGATTCAGTAATCACATTGTTCAAGTAGAATTTGATTTTTACATTTATTTCCTGGAATTTCAATTTCTTTGATCTCAACTGTTCTGGAATTTATGCTATTCCCTTCAGAAAACTTTCTGCTGCCTCACTCCTGATAATTTTTTTGTTTGTTTCTCATTTTCTACTTTTCACAGTAACTCCCAAATTAATGTCAGAAGCAAGTTGCAGATTCCTATTTGTCTCATAAGGTGATTTCATTAGTTACACAAAAGCTACTACATTGGACAGCTATAAAGGCATTAATTTGCTTTTATGGTAGCGGAATAACTGAGAGCACAGTTTTTCATTTTTGAGTCTGTCATTTCTTTCTCTATCACTATCTTAGCTGCTCTTCCTGATAATGTAAACTTTAACATACTAGCGTGTTTTATAGCTAGTCCTGGCATCTTATTCTCTTCAGTAGGAACCTCTCCTATATTTAGTTTAGTATCCACAATGCCCTATATATTTTCTGGTACAGAGTAGGAAGGTAAAAATTGCTTATCAAATACATCTTCTACATGTAGTCTACACATACTCATATAAATCCATTGACTTTATGTGGCATTAAAGTCATGGATGACCTTAAATATGATGGAGTATAGTTGTGATTTATCATCTTTCATATGTAAGTGTGAGTAAAATGGAAGAAGCCCAAGTGCCCATCGATCCACAAATGGATCAATAAACTGTGGTATATGTACACCATGGAATACTATGCAGTCTTAAAGAAAGATGGAGACTTTACCTCCTTCATGTTTACATGGATGGAACTGGAAAATGTTCTTCTTAGCAAAGTATCACAAGAATGGAAGAAAAAGTATCCAATGTACACAGCCCTATTATGAAACTAATTTATAGTTCTCAAATGAAAGCTACAACCTAATTCTAGCCCAAGAATATGGGCTAGAAGGTGGGGGTAAGGAGGGGAGAAGGGTGGATGGGTGGTGGGAGGGTGACTGGAAAGATCACCTATATGGTCTGTCTAACAAGGGTACAAGTGAACTTTTCTAGAACTAGAGTATAAATGTTTTAACACAATAACTAAGTAAATGACACAAAGTCTATGTTAACCAGTTTGATGAAAATATTTCAAATCGTATATGAAAACACTACACTGTACCCCATGTTTGCATTAATGTATACAGCTATCATTTAATAAAAAAAAAAGTGTGAGTAATGTTTCATAATAGTACTGAGTACATTGGATACTTTTGGAGGGGGATGAGAGGGGAGGAGGGAGGTTTGATGAAGGGAGGGCAAATGGCAGGACCACACCTATGGTGCATATTGCAAGGGTACATGTCTAGTCTACTAAGTATAGAGTATAAATATCTTAACACAACAATTAAGTAAATGTGGTGAAGGATATATTAACTAGTTCAATATAAGCATTCCAAATTGTATATAAAATCAGCACATGTACCCCATAAATGCATTAATGTACACATGGTCTATGGGTTTATGACTTAATAATAAAAATAGTAAAAAATATGATGGAGTAAATTTTTTAATTATACATTTAATTACTATAAAAATTTTATGTACATTTATTCATCTTATTCATCAAAGTATAGAAGCCTGGTGTCTATGTGTAACAAGAGTGAAGCACTTGCTATCATGGTCTCTATGTTTTCATTGTAGCATCTTGCTGCTTCTGCATAGGCTAAAAGCCTATATGTCTTTGCCTCTGCCATTTCTGAGGGTGAGCATGTACAAATCATGCCTGGCACAATTCAGGAGAAACTGAAGCAGAACTCCATTTGGCCTAGCACCAAGGAGGTAAAATTCCTGTGCTCAGGCCAGAAGGCTAGGGTGTGTAAGCACATCACTGGCATGTCTCCAGGACCTCCAAATTGTGGTTTTGCAAGATTAAGTTACTGCTTCCAGATGGCCTGAGGATGCAAAGAGCAGGCAAACAATCGGCCTTTTCCCCCATAGCAGTTTCCATATCTATCAAGAAGTGGGCTAGGGAGCTAACAGTCTGCTTTGTCATGGCTACTATTTTAAGTATAATAGATACTTAGAAGAATGTGTCTCACTTGAAAAGTTGATCTGTTTTTTATACTATGTTAGTGAGGTAATGGTACGAATATTCATTGACAGCATGTACATGCAGCACAGGCTATTTAAGCTGGGAGAAATAAAGATTTTTGCTATTTGCCATAAAGAGTGGTAGCCACCTTTATTTTATACAATTTCAATGCAAATCTACACCTTGCATCACCGACCACTCACAAAAAACCTCACGCAATACTTCTACTTAAAATTTTCCAGTGCTACTTACAAATATGACTGTGTCCTAACGCATCCCTCTCCTTTTAACAAATTTTATCTGAAAGATTAAAGTGTAAATAAATGAAAATATGTGTATTGGCTCTATCATCAGCTCTCTTTTATTTCTGAACTCTCTTCAGTATTCATGATCAAAAGATGACTCACATAAGAGCTTGAATGTCTGCCCAATATTGGCTTTGGATACAGAACTTGTGAGCCAGGCATGATATCTCACACCTGTAATCCTAGCACTCTGGGAGGCTGAAGAAGGCAGATTGCTTGAGTTCAGGAGTTTGAGAACCGCCTAAGTAAGAGCAAGACCCCATCTCTACCAAAAAAAAATAGAAAAATTAGCCAGGTGTGGTGGTGTGCACCTATAATCCTACTTACTTGGGAGGCTAAGGTGGAAAGATTGCTTGAGCCCAGGAGTCTGAGGTTGCTGTGAACTATGATGATGTCACTGCACTCTACACAGGCAACAGAGTAAACCTCTGTCTCAAAACAACAACAGGAAAAAAATCTTTGTGACTCAGTGTTGCAATTCACTCTGTAAAAAACATAAACTTCCAACTTCTTTTGCTTATGTAAAAGAGAATCTCCAAAGTAGTTTCATTTTAATATAGTTATCTAGAATAGCATAAATAACAAGATAATCATGAATGCTGCATTGAAGTATCAGAAAAAATGTCAAAAATACAAGGCACTGGATCACTCTCAATGCCCTCAGTTCTGTTCCTATTGATTATTGTGTATCATAAGCTATTGCTACATAACAAGGCTTCCTGATAGTAAATGGCTTAATGTCATGCTTTTTTGTTAATCACATGGGAGATTATGTTTGACAAGTTCTAAATTTGGGGATTAATATTTATGAATTTTGAAGTGGACAAAAATCTTAAGTCCATAGACGTATCCATATCTAATTATAGTTCTTGCATTTGGGACAGAAAGGACAGTTTGGGAGAGAATGACAAGAGAATTGTGATCTCACAATGCCTCTTACAGCTTCTTCTCAATGACTGAACACCTTGTGACTGCTCATATTCTGTTAACCAAAGTATGTCACATGTCCAAACCCAAATTCAAATAATACAGGCATATGTACCCTCGAATGACATATCATCAAGACCCATAGCCAAAGGATAGAGAGGTACAATCTCCCTAAAGACAACATGGGTGTTAATAAATAACTAAAAATGGCTACTTGACTATGAACTTCTTGCAGGCTAGAACCCAGTCTGATTAATTTATATAACCACATAACCTAGCATGATACCTAGAAAATAGTAATTGCTTATTAAATGTCTGCTGAATAAATCAGTAACTGTTTTGATGAATGTTCTTAACTGCTGTATATTTGAAGGAAGTGCCATGGGAATGAGACTGGACTGAGAACGAGCATCTAGAGGGGCCTGGCGAGGCTCAGGCACCTGGCCTGGCATCTCATTCACTATTTTCTGGAACCTCAGGTAAATCAGTGAGGACTGAGTGAGTTTGCCAACATGCACAGCTGTAATCCTAGCACTCTGGGAGGCTTACGTGGGTAGATTGCCTGAGCTCAGGAGTTTGAGACCAATCTAAGCAAAAGCAAGACCCTGCCTCTACTTAGAAAAAAACTAGCTGGGCATTGTGGCAGGCTCCTACTCAGGAGGCTGAGGCAAGACGATTGCTCAAGCCCAAGAGTTTGAGGTTGCTGTGAGCTATGAGGACACCATGGCACTCTACACAGGGCAACAGAGTGAGACTCTGTCTCAAAAAAGCAAAGCAAACAAAAAAAAATTATAGCTAAGCAGATAATCATTAGCATTTCTTGTCCTTCAAGTATTTGGAGAAAAAAGAGGGGAGAACACTATCAGGGACTGAATGTTTGTGCCTTGTTCCCACCTCACAAATTCATGTGTTGAAACCCTGATTCCAAAGTGTGATGATATTTGGAGATGTGGCATTTGAGAAGCAATCAGTGTTAGATGAGGTTATAAAGACAAAACCTTTCATGATGGGATAAAGGCCCTTATAAGAAGAGGCAATGGAAAACGGAGAACTTGCACCTCCCTCTTTGGCTGGTGTTCTCTCTCTCTCTCTCTCTCTCTCTCTCTCTCTCTCTCTCCTTCTTCTTCACTATGTGAGGACATGGAAAAAGAAGTTGTTCTCAAGACAAGAAGAAAGATTTTCTTGGAACCAAATTGGCCAGTACCTTGATTTTGGAATTTCCAGACTCCGGGACTATAAGAAAATGAATTTTTCTTATTTAAATCAAGTGGAAGAAGAAAGAGAGGAAGGAAGGAAGGAAGGAAGGGAGGGAGGGAGGGAGGGTAGAGGGAGTAAGGAAGGAAAGAAGGAAGGAAGAAGAAAATTATCTATCGGGGGAGAATACAGACAGGTAAGCCTGCCCCACTTCTGTCAACATTAATTACATGAATAGACTTGCAACAAGGATGATAAGAGTTCCAAGAAGAGTTGGAGGGATAAGTTGATGCCCAAAAACATGAGCTTTATTAACATCAGCAAGAGTAGAAAATAGTAGAAAAACTTAGAAGAGTCTAAAAGTCTCTAATGTGACTATTTGGAGCCAGCATGTGGGTGGAGAGACAAGGTCCCTGAATTCAACAAAAATAGAATTAGAGACCTTCAAGAACTCTGCTCCTGTGCCTGTTCCTGGGAGGAGACCCTACCTTGT